TAAGCCTATTATTGTCTCATATAACGTGAACAACTTGGCGGAAATAAGTTTAACTTATGCTGATGAACAGTTTGAGATATTTGATATAGAACAGATGACTTTATTACAAAATAATGAATATGCAAAAAGTCACTATGTATTATTCATTTAAACTCAGAGGAATTTGATGCTCTGAAACATGTACTTAAAGCTTTTCCTTAAATTTCATTAAGTCAAACATGAAATTAAAACAACAGATGAAATACCACTGCACACGAGAACTTATAGATACCCACATATGCATTAACAAGAAATTAATTCTCAAATAAAGAAAATGTTAGAAGATAACATAATCAGACCATTCTGTAGTCCCTGGTCATCCCCTGTTTAAATAGTACCTAAGAAAGAGGATGCCGCAGGCATACAAAAATAGAGAATGGTCGTTGATTATCGAAAGATAAACGAAAAAACTATTGATGAGAGATATCCACTACTTAATATCACTGATATATAAGACCGACTTGGTCGTATTAATTATTTTGCGATACTGGATTTAGCCTCTCCTGTAAATACGAAAACAGCTGTAGAGATAACATCACAATTATTTAAATATTTTAGTGATTATGGAATACCTCAAAAAATCACATCAGATAATGGAGCAGAGTTCAAAAATGTTATAATGACAGATCTTTGTACATTATACAAAATTGAGTTTCATTACACAACTCAAAGAAATCCAAACTCGAATAGTCCAATCGAAAGATTCCATTCGAAGCTACGTGAAAGTATAACGAGTTTAAAACTCCAAAATCCGAATAAGAGTATTAATAATCTAATGACAATCTTTAAATTGAATTATTACAACAGTATTCATAGTACAATGGAATCATACTTTTTTCAAGTGATTAAAGGAGATTTGAATTATGCCATACCCATTGAACAAACAGAAAATAAACTAACTACTGACTATATAAGACCTTTGGCAGAATCTCTCACAAATTTGAATAATGAAATTCTAGAAAAATCGTTATAGCAAAACAAAGTCTTTAGAATCACGCAATAAAAATCGTGAACGCGAACCAGAATTACAAGATCAAATCTTCGTAAAGCAATTTAATAGAGACAAGATAAGTCTGCGTTATGATAGAGCAAAACACAGAATTGCTTTGCTAAACAAAATGTTAAACGACAATAATTTATTCCAGGTACTCCGAGATTCGAGTTGAATCCTTTAGTATTCCTCACCCTCGTTGGAGTCACTCAAGCGTATATATTGATGACGGTAGAAGATCCTATCGTACCAATTTCTTTGGGAACTACTTACGTAACAACTAAAGACAGCCTATTATCACATTAATACGACAATTATGATACAAATTATCGATAATAATACAAAGGCCGAGTTTGTTTTTGTCATCTTTTTCGTTGATTTGCTCCGCAATTTTGACAGGCACGTGACTGGATAAGACAATTTCAAGTTACAAATCACGTACCTGTCAAAATTTCAGAGGAAATCGATGAAAAAGATGACAAAAATGAACTCGGTCAAAGTATCGATAAATTAATGAAATTATCTGACACACTAAACAAAACAACATGAGGTCTGTTTCTGCAGAAAACACAAACCAGTCAGAGCGAATTTCATTGGTTTGAAACAGTCAGAAGCAGTCAGAAAACTAGTTTCAATCAATGAAATTCACTCTGACTGGTTTGTGATTTCTGCAGAAACAGACCTATGGTCAAACCAATTTGTTACTGTTTCAAACAAATATCAAAACCAGTTATTCTCAAATTTAGATCATGAAACAAGTCATCAAAAGCTATCAAGACCGAAAACGTAATAAAAGAGGTCTATTAAATTTCATGGGCACAGCACAAAAATGGCTCTACAGAACCTTAGATGCTGAAGAGGGCGGAAGATAATGATTCTTATATTCAGAAGCTCAATGACAATCAAAATACTCTCAATGAAGATCTAAAAACACAAGCTCAAGTATTGAAACATTTGACGATCCATTTATCCACCAAAAGGTTATCACAGGAAAATTACAGAATATATAACGTTTAATTTATTATTGAATAATATCAATATCCAAAGTAATAAAATAAGGAATCTAATTGATCATGTGCAATTAGCGAAACATTTTGCACAACTGGGAATAATGCCTTATACTATTTTACAGCATAATGAATTAAATCAAATATTAACAAATACACCCAAAAGTCAACAAATACCTTTTGATAATAAAATCAAATATTATGAGACAATGAAAACTCAAGTAAAAAAATGAGTTAATTATATTTGTTATACACACACCAATGATTGATCCCAAGCCCTTTATATTGTATAAAATTTTTCCAAGAACCTACCATTAGGAATAAGTACCCTTACCTATTACTTACTAAGGACATTTACTACAATACTTTATGGGAAGCCGAAAATCTGTACCTTTGTAACCAAGAAGAGCTCAAGCAAGAAGAATTATGTGTCTATGACCTGATTACTGATGGACCACAAAAATGTACTTTCACTAAAGTGAAATATAATAAACCAACAGTTAGACAACTCCCAAATGGACAACTATTAGTAATTCCTAAGAAAAGCCACAGTTACCCAATGTGACAAAACAAACCATATGGACATTATAACCATTCCAACATTAGTTTATTTTAAAAATGCTTTGTATAAATACAAAATCAAACATTTTCAAAAACCACCGAGAACTTCAATTTTGAACTGAAGATTCCAAAAATAGACATCCCCGAACTTCCAGAGAATGAAACAACATTGGAACTTCCAGAAATCAACCGAGAAGTTCTAGAAGAAGCATTCAAGACGAAGAGACAAATAGGAGTTCCCAATCTCAAGGAATTGTCCTTTGAAAACTCTTACTTGAATACATATTTAATCATAGGTTCAAGTCTTGCTATTTTAATCATAATTTTAATGCTTCACTGTTTTAGGAAGTTTAAAATTCCCTATTTCCCATTTCATGTTTGTTTGAATTCATACTCAATATAAAAAGTTTCCTATTTTGTTTGTCACCTAAGAGGACCCTTAGAGATTAAATAAGGATAATTGGAAAGAAATGTGAGCAATAAAAAGTGCACTTCCTTGTCTTCCTTATTAGCAAAACTACCTAATGTACCTAAACAATGTTCCATCAACACGAAAAAAATTAAAGTAAAACACTTCTCGTTGATCAGTAATCAAATCTCGGAAATTATTATAATCATTATCTATAATTAAACTTCCTTCAATGTCTGGGTAATTCAACAATAGGTTTGAAAAATATTAACACCGCATTATTCAATATATTTGAAATGTTAAGTAATAGCAAAATACAAATAATAGGGCACTCTAGATCAAAAAGCACTCTTCGGAAAAACAAAAAATCAAAAAACAATCCCAACACTCAAAACTTGCTTTCCATAAACCTACAATGTAATCCAATAACCCTGTGTCCCAACCAATTAAGCGGCATTTTACATGTCAAAAGTCTCGTGGTTCAGATTCTCTAATATCAATTTTAACGATTCAAACATCAAATATCCTATGGAAATATAGCTTAATACATACATAAACAAATTTTATATTTCAAATAGATATTAGTAGTTTTAAATTTTTGTATATTTTGCAAATATATTTGATATAGGTACCTTATGGTGGTTCGGGTACACTATATCAAATGGCAGTAATCCATTATAAAATGCAAAATCTTCCAGCTTTGACGAAAAAACCTAATGTGATAGTCTTAAACTTGGGGAGCTAATTTAGAATCACATCTATTACAAAGATTTCAATTTATTGCAAAAATTAAGTTCATAATAAAACGTGTATCATATTATAAGAAATAATTTCTAAAATCTTGAATAAGGCTAAAACCTCTCATACATTAACAGTCTATTTTAAACTAATTCAGGTATGGCTAGTATTTATTTCAAAAGCATATAATAGTGGGATATTTCTGTCAATGATATTTATTTCTAATGTAAAATTCAGTGGCGCATTTTTCTTGAAATTGATATGCTACAACTGAGCTACTGTGCATAATATGGGCAGATTGTTATGCAGGTACTGTTACAGAACAAAGTATTCAACTAGATCACAGGATAATCACGTCAAGGTGAGTGGTTTTTGTGAGGGAAGTAAAGACACGATCTCTATTTGAACACAGTTTTTTATTGCTCACTTAATTTTAAACTGCCTAGACGTTTCGGTAAAGGTTTTCTACATTCTTCAGCGCTGGAACAAATGATTACTCTGATTCCCCACTTTTTATTATTCAACAAACTGACTATTTATTTCAATCGCAATAGACATATTTTTCGCAATAGTTTTTTTTAAATTATCCCATTACCTAGGTACCTAACTTTTTGTAATTTGAATCTAATCTGGGTTCTGGTAGAGAAGATTATCATTATACGTAGCAATAATATTGTAATTAAGTTTTGTTGCTTTTCTTCCTATAATATAACTTTCAACAAGATACTCCCTTTTCAACATAACTCAAGAATTGGAGAGTTTAAATTTGATGAACCCGATGTTTTGGATCAGCTAAGGTGACGTCACGCTAGCAAACTACAACTAGTTCAACTGGGAATAATCCTAAAAGCGAAGATCTCAAGTTTATTAGAGGAAAACACTCTATATAACAAGTACCTCAAGATCTCCAAATTGGAAAAACCAATACTATCAGTGACACCAGATACTGATTTTTCTAATTAAACCAAATTCGAAATTATTGTTTATTTATTTGTAGACAATTGGTAAATCCATTTTCAATAATTTTACTGCTGTGTGTGTTGAAGGTTTTTATATATTTATTTTTCTTTTAAATAATACCTATTCGTTACTGTTAAGTGGATTGGAAATTGTTTTATCTGGCACTCAAATCACTAAATTTATCTTAGCTGCTCCCTAACGTCTTTAGTAATAATAAATTAACGCCCTATATATTTTCCATTGAAATATTTCCTTCATACGAATAAAAATTTAAGCTTGTTAGGTAGGTACTTACTTTCAAAATTAAGAAGTAAAAACAAAAAGGCGGTTGAAAATTTCATTTCTTTCTATCGAATTTTCAGCATCATATTTTTCATGTGTCCACTTTATAAAAAAAAAGGTTGAATTGAGCACAATAAATGTCTTTAAAGTTTAGCACTTATCAATTAACTCTAAAATACCGATGTAATAATTGTTAGAGAAAATGTTTACAAGCGAGCTCGTAAATTCGCGTAATATATTTTTCGCGAGCTAAAACGGCCCCTGTTTGTTGGAAGTTGGAAGCAAACTAGGTAACGAGAATGAATAAATGCGCCAATTTTCGATGGCGCAAACTTGGCAGAACAATTTGCACGCATGCTTGCCAAATAATTTAGTTTTTTTTTAGGTAAGATTTAATATATTTAAAGCCCTTTAAAAGATTAGTTTTTTATATATTGCAGTAAAACACCATCGTCAAAAGCTCAATTAGGTACTAGGTACATGTAGCTCAGAGCCACTAAAGGACAGGAATTGCAAGAATGCTGGAAGCAACTGAAATGGAATTTTGGAGGAGAGCGACAGGCAGATCGAAAATAAAAAGGTTAAAAAACCAGGGGATTAGAGAAATTATGAACGTAAAATATATAGTAATAGATGATATCAAAGACAAACAACTGATTTGGTTCGCACATGTGCAAAGAATGGCAGATCGAGAAAAACCTGGAGAAGTGAAGTAGATGAGGAAATGAGAGAAAGTAGCTGAAGGACGATGCCTTGATTGACCAGAAATCGGAAATCCGATAACGTAGAAAGTTGTGAACCGATTATTATGTATATTATGTCGTAGCCATATTGAAAATTCCACTCTTTTATGAAACGGCTAGCCACTTGATAAAACGCGGCCACATTATGAAATAATCAGTGTACCGTTGGGTTTTTGTCTAGGTTTTTTAGAACCTCGAACTTATCGGTAATATCTTGCTTTTGTAACGAAAAAACAACACTAAAGGCTTTATAAACATTTTAACAATACAAACAGATTAAAATCAAGAAAAAATAGTAGAGACATGTAGGAAAAATATAAATTGTAGGTATTACACTTTCTTTCCGTAGTTAATTAATAAAATTTCCTTGGTAAAACAATTGTCTAAAGAAACCACAGCTCCAAAACAACCATCACACATCCTAGATTAACAATAATAATCGGTGAGTTTTTGGGTCGACTTGTGTCCCGTCTGGGGCGTTCCGTTTGAGTGTCACTTGGTTCTAAGGGGTGAGTGTAAAGTCCGTTTTTTTTTTAAAGATAAAAGTCAAAATGACATTATGTTGGCAATACAATGTGAAAATGTCAATGCTTTCAAATTTTTTATATAGAAAAGGCTTGTGCTGCCAACATAGTTACTAAATTTTTGACTCGGGGAATTATCTTGAGAAAAAAACAGACTTTACGTAGGTAGTTCCCTTCCAAATGTCAAGTACGCCGACGTATATCGAAGATTTTCGTTCTTGACTGTGTTCATTGCAAATCTACTTGTTGAAAGATACGAAGGCCACGTGTTGTGCTTATCTTTGACAAAAATTGCCAATCGTTGCTTCAGATCTTGATTTTTCTGTTCTACCATGTTACATTCCGGACGATAAAATGGCGTCAGTGATTGCTGAATTCCCATAATATTGTCGTATAAAGGATAATAGGGCATCTCCCTTCGGTAAATTAAACTCACTCGTCTCCCAAAAAAGTTCATGGGTTACAGGAAAACCATCGGTCACGTTACATGTAAATAACATTGCAAGTTGAACGAATTATTAAACTATTAATTTGTACGGACATGGAACTGAAACCCATAGAAGGTCAATGCCGATGCCAGGTCATCGGCAGTTATTGTAATTAGAAATCACGTATGATGGTTGCGAGACTAGGATAAAATAAGGTGGTTTTAGAAGATAGGATCGGTCTACAGATGGAGAATTATCCACGTTAGTTATTCAGTAGTAATAGTGCCTTTTAGTCTTGTGGTAATTATTAGTGCCACTAACTCTGTCTGGTTATGGAGCGCTATTGATCTCGGCGCAAATTCCAGCGAACCCAGCGTCGCGCATTGGTTCGATGTTCTTTGAGACATCTTGAACGCACCCTTGGATTTCTTTTTTTTTTTGACTTTTGATTGTCAAAAATTTCTGTCAACCAGCGGTAGATTAGTAATGTTTTCAGTATCGTCGATTCTTCTTTGAGCCCTCTAATTTTGAAAACGGAACACTTACTCTATTTTGTATTCTTCAAGTTTTGATTGTTTTATGGGATGATTATTTGTTGTTAATATCATAATTCATTAGCCGTTGTCGTTTTTCTCGGATTATGTTGTTGAGTGCAATTTTTGGTAAGTGAGAATTCTATCGATTAATTGTTGATGTTTGTCGTTATTCTGAATCATCTCTGAGTCTGAATTCCTTCCTTTGGGTTAGCTTATTAATTGAAGGTGTAACACATTTCTTTTCGCATCTGGACGTTGGAGAATTAGGGTCTTTATGAAGATTGTCTTCGCCTTTGTGGGATTTCGACCCTAAATTCTCATTTGAAATTATAACATTTTAGTTGCCTTTTTGCCTTACGTTTTCGTAGTGTTATAATTTTCGCCGATTTATTCGGATTTTTACAACTCCATGTGTGGTAAGCTGCTTACACGTTTTTTTTCCTATAGTAGATTCTGACTTTTTCAATTTAATTTAGTTGAAAGCTGCCCTAAGGAGTAGAGAATTCTCACTCTCTCTAGGAAATCCAATCCTTGATCCAGATTTCCAGAGATTTTCGAGGCAAACCCTAATTCCATCAGGTAAAAGAAACATAACCTTATTACAATTCTTGCAACTTGAGGCACGTTTTTCTTAATTAATATCAAGGCTTTGTTATGATTCAATCTAATTTAATTAATTAATACCTTAATGTTCAATTTTTCTATTAAAATAATTTTCAAGAGCTATAGTCTTTTATCAAGTAAATTTGCTATTAGAAACTAATCATTATAGTTTCATTTTTTTTTATTGATTCAATTTATTCATGAAGTGCTTCGCTATTGGTTCAATTACAAATACAGTGTGTATAACAATTTTTTCTCTTAGGGTTCTTTCACGAGGGTTTTTCTTTCACGAGGTTTTTTTCTTAGGAGGTTGTACTTTACCATCAAGTATACCCTCACGGTTATAACAATAGACGTTCAATTGTAACCGAAATTGAACCAAAAGGCTAACAGACACCAGCCTAAGTAATCGGACGGTTACTCAAGTCATCTATCAAGTTAACCACAACCAGTAGCCAGGACTAATCTGGTGAATTGAATGAACCACCATCATCTGGAACATTTTGGTATCGTACTAGTTTTAGTTATCCTGATTGTTATTGTTTATTTACATTCTGTCCCTATTTGTACACCCGGTGATCACCTCGGTATTTCAGGGAATAATTCATTGCTGGCCCCAGTGTGGTTAATGAATTATTAAAATAGGTAACTTAACTAGACGTAACCTGTTGAGTTAATGTCAACTTATTGGTAGTTCTGGTTACGAAAGTGTAAGATAACCGTTCCGAGAACTAATTCTACGTTATTAGTTTTTTTTCCTCTCTTATTCTCTTTATTTTTTTTTTAAATTTTCAAACCTTACTTTTCATATATATCTTTTTTTTTTTTAATTACTTAGTTATTGAGTTTCAATGACATTTTTGCATTTAAATTTAACTGATCATGACATAGTATTGCATTTCTGTATTTGTTAATTAACGCTTCTTGACAAGGCCATTTTAATAATTGCTAATTTACTTGATTATTATTATTTCTGTTTTTTTTTTTCTCTCTTAAATTCAAATTATTGTTCATTGTGGACTGCGGCCATTTGATAAATAAACGACTGTAGCACTTGATTTGAATTGACTTTTATTTGGTTTTATGCACACAGCCTGGTTTTGCTAATATTTTTATTTTTTTTATTAATTATTATTTGGATTGTAAGGACCTGAAGCCAGATACCATCCTGGAGAGTCCGACTCATCTGTTCAGAGTCGGTGGCGCCCAAAACTAAAACCCACCCCTACTCTCCGAATTATTTATTTCTGAGCTAGAGCTTAATTTGCACGCACTTCGACCTTCAGTCTTACAATCTCAAGTTCTTCATTCAATTATTTTTATTTTTATTTTATTTTTATTTTCATTATTTTTATTTTATTTTTTTTTGATTTTTTTTTATTCTCGACTTTAATTTTTTTTAAATTTATTTTTCTAAATTTATTTTTTTTTTAATAAACTTTTCTTAATCAGCGAAAAAGCGTGGCAGTCCCTTTATTTAAGGGTGGTGATAGCACAGAACTAAACAACTACAGACTCATTTCCCTGCTCCCAGCTATGTCTAAGGTATTGGATCTGTGTAAATATGAGATTTACCAATTATTTAGATGAAATAAATTTTTGGTATGCGGGTCAATATGGATTCAGAAAACACAACAATACTTCCCCAGCAACTACAGACCTAATTACAAATATTTATGAAAAGGTTGATAAGAGATATAAGTGTGTACTTGTCTCGCTGGACTTAAGAAAAGCTTTTGACACAGTAAATCACAAAATTCTCGTGGAGGTGCTTGAAAAAACTTGTAATGGAGGTTCAGCACTACTGTGGTTTAGGGACTATCAATCGGGCAGACTACAGCATGTTGAATGTGAACGTAACAGAAGTAAAATGGAAAACATTGTACACGGAGTGCCTCAAGGTTCAATTCTGGGACCGGCACTCTTCCTAGTTTACATGAATTCACTGTCATACATACCTCTTCAGGGCTCTCTCAATTTATATGCAGATGATACTCGCATTATACTTACTTTGACAAGGACCCTGCGAAATTGTAAATTATCATTGCAGAAGACTTACAGAAAATAAGCGATTGGCTCTGTTACCACAAACTTAGTTTAAATGTGAAAAAAATAAAGCTATATAATATAATATCAAAGTTTGAGGCCTGGCCTGACTTCACAATAAAGTTTCAAGGTCTTTCATTGACTCGTGCAGACTACATCAAATACCTGGGACTCTTCGTCGATTGAAAACTTACTTGGGATATGCATATCCTGCATATATGTAAAAATATTACACCAGCAATTAGAGTACTTAGTCGAATATCTGACTATCTATCCATTACGTATCCTCAGATGATAAACAATTCCCTTATCCATTCTCACATATCATATCTAACTCTGCTATGGGGCAATGCTTCCCTTAACAAACTGCATCCATTGTCAGTTCTCCAAAATCGTGCTATAAAAA